TATATACACACATATATATACACACATATATATACACACCTCTCTCTAGATATATATATACACATATGCACACAAATGTTATTTACATATATAGGTTTACACAGGCAATAGCTCTTTTTAACCTTGAACGCAGGCACAGGCCTAATCATCTGCAGCCTTGCCCCCTTGACAGGGCCCTCCACGCAGCAGGTGAAGAAGCACTTGATGATAAAGCATAAGTTAGTCTACAAATCAATGACAGGAATATCTGGCAGTGATGGGATGATAATTAAACACACACAAGAAGGTTACACCAAATGAAATACACATATATACAGATAACCCACGCAGTGAGTTCAGATATAAAACAGCTTACAGTCCTTTACAGTACAACACTAATGGCACAAGGTTACAACAGGAATCCCTGTTGCATACGGAACAGCAGCGGGCGGGGCTGGGGCGCAGAGGCTGTGCCCAGAGAAGAAATAGCAACCCAGGAAAAGATCCCATTACCTAATAGAACATCATTATCCTCTCCCAGGTCACTCAACTAGGAGCTCCTCAGGGGCTTCCCATTGATCACAGGCAGTGAGGAAGTTCGCTTCTCCCCTGTGGGAATCCCCTTTCCCTAGGTAACACACAACTGGTGTCCTCCTTCTCAGGGCTGGTTGATCCATCCAGTTGCTGCTGACAACAGGAAGGCCTGAGCTGCCTCGTGCAGCCACTGGGGCCTATCAGCCTCTCTCAGCCCCCGTACACCACCCCATGCACCAAAGGGGGTACATGCCTAGGGCAGGAATGGGGACCTATGTCACCTCATATAGCCACAGTGTCCTGTCAGCTCTACAGCCCAGTGCACTGATCCTTGCACTGACGGCCCGGCTCCTGCCTCATGAAGGGTTGGGGACCCGTGCTGCCTCATGCAGCTGCTGCAGTCCCTTTCAGCTCTCCGGCTGAAGACAAATTCAAATAAAAGAACCCAAGGACTGAGGCATGGACTGTGCTGTCCTGCTCATCTGGAGACATCATCTTAAACCTGAGGTTCTAGGCTGTGACTGGATCTCGCAAGTGCTTGGCACTTTCCTCTGCTGGATATATGTAACACGTGACTCTGTGAGTTCAGGACCTTTCACTGTGACCTATTCAGAGGAATGGTTGGGCATCCTTTTCCTGTACGCAGATTACTCTGTCATGTCACACTTATTTTGCAGAATCGAAGCTAGCATTCATTGGAACAGATTTCCAGGCTGTTCTTAATACAAAGGAAGCCTCTGTGTGTTGTAGGAGTTTGAATGTTTGGAATTTGGTAACATGCATGGGCGTTATATGGCATTTCCCATACACACTGAGGCATTCCCTCTGATGAAGTTTAGATAGCATTGCTGCCTTTACTGCCTGAAGCAGGAAGGACAGATTATTAAATACCTGTTTTCAAAGAAATATCCATATTTTCTCATATATAACATGCACCTTTCTCCACAAAAAAATCAGTCCCCCCAAATTGGGTACATGTTTTAAGCAGGGAACCTGTTTTCTTTTCTGCAAGAAGCCAGCTGGGAGAGGCATGCCATGCAGCTGCCAAGATGACTACCAAGATAGTACAGTCCTGTATTAATCTTCTTACAGCCATGGCTATTAAGCCTCTCACAGCCATGGCTATTGGCTGAGCACTGTACCTTGCGTCTGAAGCAGCAGGTAAGCTGCTGGTAGTATCTTGATGAGGCCTGTGATGTGGAAACACTTTATTTACAGGAATTTATATAAAGAACTACTTACAGTAAAGAACTAATTAGTTTTGCTACTGCCCTTGCAAGGGTCTGGGGCTTAAAGTTGTGTGACAGAAAATAACTCCTCTTGGAAACATAAAGTATCCAGGAAGTATAGCTTCCAGGAGACAGTCTGGATGAGGCAGCTGTCACCAGGAACTTACTGGTGCCACATGTCCTGGATACTATGTTTCCAGGAGGACTTACTGTATGTCACAGTTGGCCATGACTCTGGAAATGTCTTTTTTCTACATTCTGCCTTCCATAAACAAGGTGTGTGTTTTATTTGGAAGGGTTATTATATGTGAGAAAATATGGTAAACGCTCAGTTTTGAGCTGGTGAAAAGTGCCTGGCTGATAGTTTTGGAACCTGATGTAGCCTGGGTACATCCAGGGGTGTGCCCTGTCCACCAGTGGAAGGGATGGGGTGGTCAGGCAAGAGTGCTGAGAGAGGGGCCTGCCACTGAGAACTGGGAGCAGTTCCCTCTCGTCTCTACAGGGCCAGACCGAGACGAAACACTTAACTATATACAAATGTATTGCTACAGTAAATAAATATGAATAAAAAACATTAACTATTTACAGTAAAATCAGTATGTGACACCATATACAATAACCTGCAATCAACATATTGTACCACTCTGAGGGACTTCAGAAACATAAACCAGGTGATTCACAGCATATGCAATAATTCACCTCCCTGCACAGAATAAGCACTAACACTTTGGAACAGGTAAGTCAAGGCATCAACACAATAAACACATATAAGCATCAATTTAGATAACCCAGGTAAATTAAGGTAGCAATACCATAGACATACACAGGCAACAATACAAGTATGTTCTGATAATAGGCAATAAACACACATAAGCAATGAAGACAGATAAACCCCCATAAACTTCCTTAAGGAATACCCATAACTATATTAACCTCTACAGTACAAAAAAACAACAATCACAAAATAAGCAGGTGCACTCAGCACCTCACGGGGAGTTCCCTGGAAACCCTCCCCTTTAGGGCCCTGGGATGTGGACACACCCCTCCCACAATGGACGTGGCAGACCCTCCTCTCCCAAGCCCACCTCCCCTGAGGAACCCGCTTCCCCAGCAACTCCCACTCCCACTCTGAAGCAGCCAAGGCTCATCCCCTGGTGGCCAGTCCCACAAGGGCCTCTCCCCGGCAGCGCCTCTGGCTCCTCTTGATGGCCTGGTGCCCTGCACTAGGTACCCTGGGTACTCCCACGGGAGCCAAGCCCTTACTGGCTCCGGTTCCCCAGCCTCACACCAGGAGTCCTTCTCTTTCCCAGGCCCTGCTCTGGGCACCAGAGCTCTTTTAGTTTAGAGCGGAGCCACACTGCGGGGCTCCGGTTACTTGGCCTAGAGCCGGGGCTAACTTGAGCAGCCTTGAGCTGCTCCCAGGGCTGACTCTGCTTGCGCTGACCTGCACACCGTGTGGGGTCCAAGCAGCCTCGAGTTGCTCCCAAGACCAGCTCTCTGTGTGCCTATCCATGTACCACCTACTCAGCTGCTTGCTGGGTTCACAGGCTCAAGCCACCTCAAGCGGCTTGTAGAGCCTGAGCACTGTGCACCAATCTGTGCACCGTTGAGGCTCAGGCTGGGTCCCGAGGACTGCCATCTCCATACCTCCTCTCTCCTTGCCATCCCTTGCATCTCTCTCCTGCCAGATTGCTGAGCATGCTCTCCTTTTATAGCTTCAGGGGCTCAACCCCCGAAGTTCTCTGGACCTGACAGGGCACAGTCTCACCAGGTCCAGACTGCTCCTTGCCCCCACCCTTTGGGGAAAGGGCGTGGCCTTGCTTACCCTAGCTTGCTTCTGATTCGTGAATGGGCTCCACCAATCGAAATTGCAGAATCTCAAGCCCAGGACTCATCCAGAGCTCAAAAGCTAAGTCTGCTACACGGAGAGTCTCTAGCTGCTGATCAGGTCTAGCAGAATCAGTGGCATAGTTACATCCACTTCAAGCTCATCTTCACTCTGATTTGGAGACTTACTTTCAAGTGTGAGATGCTGATCGAGTCACCAATGCTCAGCCAGTCTTTGTTTTCCCTGCTGATACTCTACTGAATCTGTATCCCATTGTCAATTCTGTGAGTTATCCTGTCATATGAAAGACACACCCAAGAGTATCAGCATTTGATGGTTTAATCACTGCTCTATTTTGTCTCTGCAGCAATCCCTAAAGATGCAGTATCTGCATCATTTACTGACCTTGGGAAATAATTCACTTTTTAGGCAACTTTATTTCTGACAGGTTTGTGAAAATGGGGCTTATGAACTGCAGTGCATCTTCTTGTTTCACTTTTCCCTGACAGAGACATTTGCTCAGTGAGTTATGTGGCTTCCCACACTGGGAGGCAGCAATTTCTGTACCCCTCTGGAACCCACATATTGCTTCAGCCTTGGGCACTTCCATCAGTTCTGAACATTGGGGGTTCTAATGATGTCCTTCTTTCTTTCTCTTTTTGCAGATGGATTAAGTTTGAGGAGAAAGTGGAAGATGGGGGCGAGAAGTGGAGCAAACCTCATGTCACAACCCTTTCCTTACACAGTCTGTTTGAACTAAGAACATGCATAAAGAAAGGGACTGTCCTCCTGGATTTAGATGCTCACAGCTTTAAGCAAATAGTTGGTATGTAGAAACTGTGGAGAAATCACTTCTCTGGGATGCAGCCATCCTGGGCTATGTGTTGGGTTACTAGGAGCTCCTTAAATAAAAGCATTGACATTTGATAGCAAGGTACATACATATTGGACTTTATTATTGAGATAGCAATAGAACCTCAAGGTCCCAAGTGAGCCCAGGGCCTCATTGTGCTAGGCAGTGTGCAGACGCATTGTAAAACCCAGTCCTGCAAGCTTTCTGTTTAAATGGACTAAACAGACAAAGGAAGCCTTGTGTTAAGGTCACATCTGGATTCTGCAGCAGAGCAGGGACTTGAGTTCCATCTAGGGTGTTGTTAAGTAGAGCCATAACCGTAAGTGCATTTTCTGTCATGACTTTAAAGTCTTGTCCACAGGGCTGAGTGTAAAATCTGGTATAAAGTATTCTGGAAACATCACTTCTCCAGTTGTTCCAAAGTCCTGGCTGAGAATCTGGGAGAGGTCCTCAGGATTACACTAAAATCAAATGTAGCATCATTTCACTATCCAAATTACTAGATGTTTTTCCTACTATGACAGTGTGATTTTCTTAGTAATCAGTAGGTCTCTTCCATCTCTAGCTTTGATAAGTCCATTGACTTGAATGGAAGCTCTGGGTGTGGACTAAGGATAATGTAAAGGCCTGGGTCTTTGGGGTATCTTTATTAGGGCTCCATAGGAAAGAAGATTAGGACTAAGATGCCAATTGAGGCAGGAATGTAAGCTACCTACATTGCACATTGTATTGTTGGGTTTGATAGACTCTGCATCACTACCCACACCAGGTAGAAGATAAGTCAGGGTGGCATCTTCAACACTGGTTGGTTCCGAGAGGCATAAGCCTTCATATGTGACAGCCTGCTTCATCAGATGCTATGAACGGATTTGAAGAAAGAAAGGGCTTTTAGTATAAGAAATCTAAATACAAAGGAAAGAGGAGGGGGGAGAAGGTACTACTGATAAAAACAAAAGGTGAGTTGAAAAGGTCAATAGAGATAAAAAGGCAGCAGTTAACACATAAAGTCATATAGAAATACACAGCTGGAGTTAAAAGCTAGTCCAGGTAATGGAATAAGAAACCATTCTTTGTTGAGAATATGTTGAGAACACTATCCAGTCTGTGGATGATTTCTTGTTCAAGTTGTTTTTTAAAGCTTTTGTTTAAGGACAGCTACTCTGAAGCTAGTGATGGAATGTCCAGGGTGGTTTAAGTGTTCTGCCATGGACTTCTGTGAGTTTTTGGAGTTGATGCCAAATCAGTGGCCATTAATTCTTTTACATAGGGATTGCCTCATCTGGTCAATGTAGACAGTAAAGGGGCACTGTAAGTAGATAATGGCATATATAATGTCAGTAGAGGAGATGAACAAACCTTTGATGCTACATTTCATGCAGTTTTTTCCAGTGATAATTTGGTCTGTGTTAATAAGGGGGCACAGCTGGCATCTGTAGCTCCAATTCTTATCTGGTGAGAACTGGAGCTAAGTAATCTGTTGCTGGAGAGGCATCATTTGAGGTTGGGAGGCTTGTCCCCCTATGGCTACCTTGGGAGGATGATCATTTTTCAGGAGGGGTGGGAGGTCATCAATGATGTGTTCCAGGTATTGAAACTGGGAGCTGTAGATCAGTGGTTCTCAACCTTTGGTATCTTACATACCCCCTGCCAATTGACGTGGCAGAAGCAAAACCGGAAGTCCCACCATGGCACTTCTGGTTTTGCTGCTGTGAGCTGAGTCCCACTTTTTCCACCGCGGCCCAGGGCAAAGCAGCCTGGGGCCTCCCTCCCTATCCCTCAGCACACTGACGCTGGGGAGTGAAAACCCTGGTGAACTGGACATGGTGGGAGGGGCGGTGGCCAGAACTTCCAGCTTGAGCAGGCAAAAATGCCTCTAACCTTCTGGTTGGTGGGGCTGGGCCAAAACCAAAATGCAGCACCCATGTACCCCCTGCCTGTGTCTCACGTACCCCCAGGGGTACGCATACCATGGCTTGAGAAACACTGCTGTAGATGACAGCCAGAGGGATTCTATTGTCCTTGTCACAGGGTTGGTATTGTACCAGGTCAAAGCAAAGTCTGAGCCTGGCTGTGTTGATTCAAGAGGCTACAATTTTGGGTCTATACTGTAAGTGCAGAAAGGCCTGCTCCAGATTCCTAAGGTGTGCAACCTGGACAATGGGATCAGAGCAGATTCGGTTGTCACTCAGAGCTTAGCTGTAAACGATGGATCCAGTAGTGCATAGGATGAAAGCTAGTGGTATGGGGGTAGCTGTAATGATCAGTTGTTTTTCGGTTTCCTATACAATGTACACTATTGCCTACAAAAATTCATGCCTTTCTGAACCAGTTAATTTCTAAGGTGCCACCCTGCCCTACCTTCTACCAGACTGCAGACTATAGAACTAACTACCCAAGCACCAGTCCAAATGAGAGCTGTGTTCAGGAGGTCCACTCCTTGACTCTGGGAATGAGTCTGGGGTTAGGATTCTATCTGTTGAACTTCAACATCCAAACATCTCCATATTTCCCCTACTGCCAGTGTTGTATTTCTTCTACTAATCTTGGTTGCAGAATTTTATCACTTTCATCAATTTATGACCATGGAACTGACTCGCTTCAAAGCTATACCAGAGGAGCACCAATACCCAGGAAATCCATATAGTTGAATGAATGCACTTTGAGAAGGGGGGAAAAAAGTATCTGCCACTTAAACAAAATCACTGATGTCATCATTTTGCATTCAAGAGCAGGTGATTGCTGTTCAGATTGAGGAGCACACCCTGAGACCAGAGCTGAGGAAGAAGCTTACACGTGTGCTGCTCCGCAGACCCCAGCACCACACCACAAAGTCTGAGCTGAGGACAGTGGCTGAACTCACTGTTGCCTCCTGCAGAGGTAGGGGCTGAAATCCTTGAAGCTATGTCACTAGCTCTAAACTGAAACAGGACAGGACCCTAAGCTTAGAAATAATCTGTTAGTATGAATCTTTTAAAAATTAATGAATGGAAACTTAGGGACCAGGTCCTGACTTGAGAGCAGGGTGCCAGACAGAGCCTGACAGACATTCTAGCACAGTTAATGCCATGGTTTGGTACATGCTTAATTTGCCACAATTAAGCATTTTGGCAGACTTTATTTTAGTGTCTCAAGATTAAAAGATCATGGATGCTGAAAGTGAGGGCCAGGAGCACTGGCACAGCCAAGTAGGGGACCAGAACTGGAAGGGTGAGGCTGCAGGGCAAGGTTAGGGTTGATTCACAGAGCACGGCAGTGGTTTTAGGACTGGAATGACCTAGGGTGAGGAGCATTGGTAGAACTTAATGGATGCCCCAGGATAGGAGATGCAGGGTGTGTCTACATGTGCAATTAATGTGTTCCTGGGCACCCATCTCAACTTGCACCCATTGGGAGCAAATTTGCAGGGCTGGCAGTAGACATGGGCCGATCTCAATCTCCACAGTGCAGGGGGAGCTGTCTCAGCTCTGGGGGCAGCTGCCTCCCACCCACATGGAGATCAGGACTAGTTCCAATCTCCACAGGGAAGAGGGGGCTGTCCCTGCTCTTTGGGCAGATCCCTCTCAGTCACGTGGAGATCATGACTCGTCAGCATCCCAGTCAGTGTCTACATGTACACTTCAGCGCATTACTTAATACACCATTTATCTAGTACTTATATATATTGGTACTAGCAAATGGCATATTATACAATTTTTATGAGCAGTAATTGCTGCGCATGTGTAGACAACAATGCTTTATTGCTCATTAGATTAGTTTAATAGTAAAGCATCTCATGTAGACTTACCCACAGAGGTGCAACAGGTCAGGATTCCAGGACACTGGCAGAGCCTTGCAGGCACTATTATACAGCACCTGCCTGCACAATATCTGACTGAAGTAAGTGCTATTACTCTCTCATCTCTATAAGCCAGGGGTGGGCAAAATGTGGCCTGTGGGCTGGATGCGGCCTGCCATGCCATTCTATCCAGCCTGCAGGGCCCCTAAAAAATTTAGAAAATTAATATTAATCTACCCTGGGCTGCCTGTCATGCGGCCCTCGATTGCTTGCCAAAACTCAGTAAGCGGCCCTCTGCCCAGAATAATTGCCCGCCCCTGCTATAAGCACTAAATGCACAAGCTGTTTTAAAAGCAAAAAGCTATAGACACTTTCCTTCTAGAGATCTTGCCTGTAGGAACTAGTCTAACCAATGAACAACTAGGCTTTAATGATATTGCTTTGTGTTCCCTTTAAGCTTGTATTGTATGTTCATTTGTACTTCCTGTTTTAAATGTTTTGTCCCTTTTCCTTGTAGGAAGAGGTAGTAACTTGACAAATCCAGGAGCTGATATCTCAGAAACACCCCTTAAAGAACAGGTAAAGAAGGCAAAGCTGGACAGAAAATATTAAGTTATTAGTACAGCTGGATGAAATGTGTAGGTTTGTTCCCTAAAAAACTTGACTTGTGTGTCAAGCCACTATGTGTACTCCTAGGGAGGGAAGCATGTGATTTGTGCATGGGGCAGGGGAGGTCATGAGCTGCCCACTGTGGGCTTGGGACTCCCTACCCTGCTGCCCTCCCCCTGGGGGCTGCCATGGCCCAGCAAGCGGGACCTGCCATGGAAGGGCAGAGCAGGGTGGGGAAGCTCGCTGCTGCCACCACTGGGAGCCCTGTACCAGCTGCACCACCATGGCAAGGTGCCCCCTGCCCACCTGGCAGCAGCAGGGGCAGTGACAGCAGCAGCAGTGCAGAATAGTGCCCCCTGCTGCTGCCAGCCAAGCAGGGGGCATCTCACCTTGGCGGTGCAGCTGGCACGGGGCTCCTGGTGGTGGCAGCACGAGGCCTCCTTGCCCTGTTCCACCCTACCATACTGGGTCCCACCTGTTGGGTCGCAGAGGCTCCCAAGGGGAGGGCATCAGGGCAGGGAGCTCCGAGCCCCACAGTGAGCTGTCTGCATCTTCCTCCATCCTACATGGACTCTGCTAAGCTCCTGCCTGGCTGAGCTGCCCATGGTGGGGTGGGGAGGGGGGGGAGAGAGCATGCTCTGCTTAGGCAGAGCTCAGGCTGGGGGCCCCCTCCATTAGGGCTGGAGGGTGCCAGGGGCTGTGGGTTGGAAGTGAGGAGCACCAGCAGGCTCAGGGGGCTGCGGTTTGGTAGTGAGGGAGAATGGCAGGGCTTGGGGAGGCTTTGGCTTGGGAGTGAGGGGTAACAGCTTGGGAAGGGGCAGAGCATTGGCATATCAGGGCTGCTCAGCACCACAAAGCAGGGAGGGCTTAGCTGAAGTTGGACCCATATTCTGGTGAGTGAAGGGGACAGGGGGAGCTTTGATTTTCCATGATAAAAAAAACAAAATCAAATGCCTATATAGGTATTTAGAATTTATTTTATTATAATGACTGAGGCACTGGTAAGCTTCCAAATTGCTTTAAAATTGTAAATGTATCAAGTAAATATTGTGTTCAGGTGATACCTACATATATATATTTTAATCAGATTTTTAATTGGAGAATTTTGGATTTTTTTAAACAGAAAAAACCAGGATTCCTGGTTGTGAGTCCCATGGCTGCAGGGTAAAATGAGAGAAGTCTTGCTGGGGTGCTTACAGTGGCTATACGTAGTGGGTGCACAGGATTCCCACCCCCACCGGTTGCTGACTGGCTGCTGGGGGGGGAAGGGCAAGTGCCCCCCCAACTCAGGAGGCACCAGTCACTCATGGGTGCTTAGCCCATAGAAGAGAATGGGCTCATGAGGCAATGAGATTACATATCCTGTGAGATAGTACAATGTTATATCCAATTTGACTATTTCCGTTCTGAGCCAAAAAGCCAAATCTTTAGGGCTTAAAAACATTGATTTTTCAACAATAAATACATTTTAGAATCCACAACAGAACGTCTTTTCTTTAAAAAGTTATAATAAAAAATTCCCCTGCATGCTGGATCCAGTGTCTGTGGTGTCTAGAGAGGGTGATTTGTGTCCTGGACTTGGTGCCACAGGTGCTGGATCCAGCATGCAGCAGGGGACTCCTGGACTGGCCCTGTCTAGATGTTGTGTGCAGCACTGGTCCCAGAGTGGATGCTGCATGTGGTGTGTGTCCCGAACCAGCCAGGGTGGGTACTGTGTGCAGCTCACATTCTGGGCCCTGCACAAGGGGCTGGTCCGGCTTGTGCTGTATGTTGTGTGTGGGCGAAATTAAGATCCAACGGCAGCACCAGGGGCCAGATGATGGGACTTTGCTAGCTGGATCCCACTTGAGGGCTGTATATTTGACATCCCTGTTATAAAGCAAAAGTGTCTCTAACAGATTTGTGGATATAGATGTTTACATCTTCCAGCAATTGGCTCAGGTAATCTGGCAATTGTTGCAGTTATGATAATGGCTGTTTGGTGACTTACTCAAAAGGAGTTGGTGGGTTTAATTCTGATCCCCAGAGGCATAACAGGGCAGCTGGGCACTCAGGGCAGTGGCAACGCTGAAACAGGAACAACTTTCAGCTGTCGCCATGCTGCCAGCCTGACTGTACAGTCATGGTAGCAACGATTATTTTTCTGATGCTTCTCCCACACCCCAACAAATCAGTACCTAGTGCTGCTGCCTCAGTCGCCCCACCTTAATTATGGTACTGCTGATTTCTAATGGAGAAACATCCCCCCAAAAACATCCCACATCCCCCAAAAAATCCATTTCAACTTGTCCTAGCTGGAATCTATGCGGAGAAACCAAAGACCCAATGGCATGAGAAGACTGAATTCACTTTATCCTTAAGTGTGTTTTTTTTCAGCCTATATTTGAGATCTCTTGATGGAGTAGTGTGAGAGGGGCTTAACCATTGCTGCCCATGCTGAAATACTCAATGGGTGCA